CGCGGGACCGGCCCCGCGCGGCAAAACGGGCCGGGTCCTGCSCGGGGCGGCCGGTCAGCGCACCCAGCCCGGTCCCGGGGCTCCTCGGCACAGCCCCTCCTCCGTGACCCCATTGTCGCGGTCCAGCCTGCTTGGCGCTGCCCCGCAGCAGCATCAGGCTGATGGAGGGAGAGGGCCCACGGGCTGCCCTTGGACCCATTCACGGGTGGTTTTCCACGCTTAGTAGCCCCACTCACTGTCCTTGTGCGTGTGTCAAAGCGGCTGGGGGGATATGCCACATTAGAGGAAAATGCCAGAGGGAGGGAGCTCTCCTGSAACAGGAGGCAGCCTGTCTTTGGAAACCAGATAGATGGGCAGTGGAGACTGTTTTCTGCAGGCTGACTAAGCTGAAAGAGTTAATCCCCAATCAGGAGCAACCCACATCAGGTAGGACAGGAGGAAGCAACACAGGGTATGGAAGTGCAAGGAAGGTGCTGGTGCCTGGCAGGGACCATCTGTAGTGGCAGAGACAGGAAAGTGGTTCGTGCATTTCCAGAAGCTGCCAGGCAGATGCAGCAGCGATCACACACTCTGCAGGCTGCAGTGGGAACAGGATCCCTCTGCCTGGGATGCGCCTGTGTGACTGCAGCTCCTTGGTGATCAGCTGATGTTAGAGAAGAAAAAAAAACCCTCTTGCCAAACAGCTATTTGCTGAGTCACGACCAAACAATGCTGCAGACAGCGCTGAGCCAAGAGCGTTATCTCTGCCCACAGCCTCCCCGGCGGGGCCAGCCGGGCAGCTCCCGCCTCTGCCGGCCCTAGCGCCTGGCTGCGGCTCCACAGCCCGGAGCGGGACCCTGTGCCCGGGTCCTGTGCCCGGACCCCGTGCCCGGCTCCCTGCGCCGCTTCCCGGGGCCCCGATGGCGGCTCGAGGCGGCACCGCAGCCCACGGCAGCCCGGGAGCGTGGCCATAACGGCAGCGCCCCTTCCGGTCGGGAATAGGAAACTACCCCTCTCATCTGATAGGCTATCTCTAATCACGAGGTACAGCCTTGACTTTTATGATTGGCCAGCTCTTTCTTCCCGGTGTCTTATGGGAGTTGTAGTTTGTCTCTGATTACGCCTTCCTTGGTGTGCGTGGATACTACGTTTCCCGGCAGGCCCCACGCGCAGCGGCAGGCGGGGGGGCGGTTCTTGTTTATCCGGGCATCTTCCCCCCTGGGCGGTTCGTCCAATCGGCGCGCGGCGAGGCGCCTCGGCGGGCGCTCATTGGTGCGTTCGGACTGGCGGGCCRTGTTTCAAAATCCGTTAACGGCGGCGCGCAGAGCGGCCGCGGCGCTGAGGTGAGTGGGAGCGGCCGGCGGCCTCGCGGGCCACGGGCGGCACCAGGGACGGCGCCGGAGCTCTGCCCGCCACCGGAGCGTGCTGGCCGTCCCCGGTAACGGCAGGCTCCTGCTCGCGGCTTCTCTCAGTGCTAGGGGTGGCTGGGGGAGCCGGCCCGGCGAGACGCGGCCCGTGGTCGGCTGCTCCGTGAGGTGCTCCCGAGCGCCGCCGCCATCGGCGGGAAAGGCAGTAGGTCAGCGGAGAACGGAGCGGACCGGGCACGGAGCTGCCCCGGGGAGGGGTGGGCAGCGCCCAGGGAGTTTGCCTGCAGCGGTAACTGGTGGGTGGTGGAGCTCCAGGGGGCCTCGTGCGGTGGAGCTGGTGCCAACATGTAGCTCCAGCTTAGACTTTCCACCTCCCCGTCYTGGGCTGCACTCACCTCATCACAGTAGCTGTGATACCATTAAAATTAAACTCTGTCAAGATCTGAGTCCTCAGACCGACGCTCCCCAGATCTGACACTACACAGGCCTCAAGGGATGCTCAAGGGGCCTGTTTCCCTCATGGCAAAAGAGGGCTTGGAGCCGTGGGCAGTGCTTGTGTCTGCAGAGCTGAGGCCACACTGTGGTGCATTTGAGTCTTAACCCAACACTTTGGACTGACTTAAGTAACAGAAAGCTATTAACTTAGCTATTCTTGTACAGGGCTTTTTTTAAACCAGGGGCTTCAATTTAACCAACAACAAGTTGAGTTTGTAGTGRCCAGAAATATCCTGCTGCTCCTCAAATAGCTATTCTTAGAACGGCCCATCTTGGTGTCTTCTAAAACCTGTGGCTCTCGCTTACGGAGCGTGAGATGTCAGGGCTGTTTATTTTGGGCTCCTGGGAGGGGAGGCGGCTCGGGGGAGCTATTACTAGAGCACAGGCTACTTGTGGGAAAAGCTGCTGTTCTTGTGCCTGGCTCTGGGCTCGTGACAGCCCCCGGGGCTGCTCCGCAGGGCTGTTGCCTATGTGGAATCAAAGCCTGTGCCCCTCTGTCCGAGTCTGAGCTTTAAATGATGGAATTGAACGTACTACCTCTGTCTGCACTTARGGCCCTGACGCTGGCATTGGTTCTGTATCGTGGAAAAGTGTGTTGGAACATCRAGCAAGGAATAGCAGAGGAGAAAGAGAAAACTGGTTCAATATTTGCTAGAAAGCCTCCCTTAGCCCCACTCGGGCAAAGGGGAAGGAGGTGTCTGCTATTGGCTACCAGACTAATACCTCCAGGCCAGGGAAAAAYGGTTTTCACCAAGTTTTTCTCCCCTTAAAGTCTTTATTGCCATTTTGTTTCTCCTTTCTTGTTCATCCACTTTGTGCTCTCCAGCCCAACAGACAAGCAAGCCCGCCTCTTCAGTACTTAAATTAGCTTCTACCTTCCACTTGGCAGGCCTGGAAGTAGCTGTTGGATTGGGGAGCAGCAGCAAGTCTGGAGAACACCACGTGTGAGCCCTGTGGCCTTCTCCCAGCTCTATTTGTGACCACCTTAGTCATGGTGTAGCTGGCACCCCRGCTCTGCTCCTGGCTGCCCAGGGTGGAGAGGGAGCGGCTGAGAAGGATGGGTGTTCATAAAAATAAAAAGGAAAAATGCTCTAAATTTTGATTTAATTATTTCACTTTAGCAAAGTGATAATTATGAACTTATCTGAGAATCTGGAGGAAAAAGAGCCRTTTGGGGACCACAAAGCAGCAGATAGTCAAGGATGGGGTTCCTCAAATGGCATCATGATGAAGGAGTTTGTGTGGCTGCTGGGATGACTTCCAGCAAGGTGCTGGTCGTAAGGCCATCTTTAGAGAAGTAGCTTCCAGCCTTTGTAATGGTCCTTTTTGTACATGGGCTATTGAAAAGCATCTGGCATCTTCGTGTGGATTGAGGTTCCTCTAAAGGGTATAGATGCATTAGCCTGGTGAAGCAGCAAAGGGAGGGAATGAGCCTGGCCTAGACCAGATGTTGGCTTAGTCCAGTGTTAGTGTCTAAACAGCTGTTGGTGCTGAATGCTCCAGCAGAAGGTACCACAGCAGCACAGCAAATTGTCATGCAGCACTGTTGGGCTTGAGGGATCAGCTCCTGCTAACTCTTAGGAGTCCCTTTTAGTCATGAGGCTTTGGATCTACCTACTGGTGTAATTCAAAATACCCTTTTTGAGCACCTGATACTATTWTACCCCTCTTCTGGTCCTGCTGTGATCTTAGAGTAAATGACATCTGTAGCCTATGAAGCTACCAGGCGTGTTGTGATAAGATGCCTTTTCCCCAGGTGACAAGGGGCTTATGCAAGGAAATGGCAAGACAGCAAGGAGAAAAAACACCCCCGCCCAGCTGTTCCCACTTGTCCATTGATGCTTCCCCAAGCCCCTCTGTTTTTTCTCCATGGGATATCTGATTTCTTATCCTGGAGTTT